AACTATCGAAAGTGAAAATTTAAATCTTTGCAATCAAAAACGGTGAAATTTGTCTTATGATGGGGCTTACGATGGGAAGTGTGGGCACTGAAAGGCTCAGGTCAGCCAGAGTACGGCGAATGCGTTAGGGTTTTGGGGGAGAGAAGTGGGAGGAAGAGGAGAGGGGAGGGAGCGCACTGCAGGGGTTGACACGCGACAGGAGATCACTGGGGAAGGGGGCCTAGAATGGAGTTCGCACAGCGGCATCTGTGCTGCGCTTGGTGGCTGGCGGAGGTACACTTCTTCAGCTCCACTCGGCGGGAACGGATAGCACCAATCTGTTCCCCGGAAAAATAGCTTTACCCTTTTCTCAACCCGACCCGAGACATAACCCGTTTCAGCTTCTTCTTCTTCTTCTTCTTTTTTTTTTTTTCCTTTTTTTTAATGTTTTTTAATTTTCCCATGTCAAAAACCGCCATGGCTGGAAGGTCCGGAGCATTGACCCAAGTCAGGTCAATGAGGTCAAGAAAAAAGGCAGCAGCTTGCTAGAATTTTTCAACAAGTCGAAACCTAACTAATTTTAATACGTGAGAATGGAAAGTTTTCATTTTTCCATTGAATTTGCTGCACAAGAAAAACTTCTTTAGTCTGAAGCATGAACTAGGAAAACTGGGTTTTTGTAGATAAAAGACATGTTCGTTTGTTACTTGTGCCTGTAGATCATGTTGGAAAGCATGTAATAATATTGCCTAAAAGAACAGCAAAGAATCCTTGAGTACAATTCCAACATATTTGTATACTATGAATTAAAGTACTAGGATACTTAAGCTGAAACGTGTTTACATTCTAATTTAGATATTTGATGGATTTCAGGAGCCTTCCCTTTGCAGACAATTATTGTTAACTGAGAATTCAAGAAACCTATCTTTTGCTTTATTGGGGAAACGAAAATATGCATGCCTCCAGGACTTCTTGATGACGAGAGTGCCGCAAACTCCCCAGAACCCCACAATGAAACCTAATGCCACACTGAGGAAGAAATAGAGCTTCTCATAATCATCCCCTTTTTCACCATTCCTGTCTGTATCCTCACCAGGAAACTCACCAGATTTTCCGTTGTTTTCAGGACATTTAGAAGATAATGGAAGCCCGCAGAGTGCTGGATTGCCCTCATAAATTGAAGGATCATTGAAGGTTTGGAACTGGTTGGTTGTTGGGATTTGTCC